GGTATATACCGATCGGATAGTATTCCTCCGAACTTTGAAACTCTCCCTTGTAATTCCAGCCTTTTATTTTTCTGACAAAACAATTCTTTTATGTATTCGCGAGACTGTCGGGCAGGCACTCGTTAAGTTTTGCATCGGTTTTTATTTTCGAAAGGTGAGAGTATAATAGCAAAGGTAGAGAGTGGGCAGAAGATGTCTGATGTTACTGGGCAGTATAGGTCTACAGTAGGCCGCAGTTCAAACTTTAAGAGAAATACAGTACTGTATAATCAAGAAGACTCAAGCAGCTAAAGGAGTTTAACAAAAATCACATTTGAGAAATAAAGAACATCGAAGAGTTCATAATGGAACCTGAAACGGATCTGACGACAGAAAAATGAATGAAGAACACCAAGAAACACGGCGAGATATTTTTTCTTCTGAAAAAGAGGATTAATGCCGACATCTGTTATTAAAGATTCTTTGAAGAAGTGGGAGGATGTCAGAACAACGGTCTTAGAATGGCATCCAAAGCAGGTTGAGGCTTGGAAATTTCTACAATTGCAATGCTATTAATTACTTACGAAAAATCCTGAAGAAGAGAGAAAAGCAATCGATATTAGACAGATTCTTTAACCCCCACATACGGAAAAACATGACAAATAAAAATGCAAGACTGTGTATGTATGTATTTTTATTATTAAATGTAAATAAACATAGTAAGAAAGTATATATTTTTTATTTTTGGGTGTCTCCAGAACGAATTAATTAAATTCCCATTAAAACCTATGGTAAATCGATAATCGGTTGTTAACGAACCATTCGGATAGCGAACAAAGTCTTGGAACAGATAATGTTCGTTAACCGATCACCCACTGTACAGTGTAACTTCAGTTTATAAATGTATCTTATGAAAAGTTTACTGGAATGAGCATGCACTAAACATTATTCTTCCAGCATGCACTACACATTATTCTTCGCATTGCAAAATGACATATGCATGCGTCAGGAACTTCTGTTTGAACAAACCTCACCTGCCCTCTGGGTCAGCGATTTTAAAAAGGTGGCAACACTAGCACGGATTTTTCATTACTTATTCAGTGACGAAACTGAATTTTAGTCTTTTAAATTGAGATACCTAAATAAGGGGATGGCGAAATTTTCCTTTGCTCCGGGCGGCTGACACCCACGCTACGCCACTGGTAGAGTGTAAAAATTTAAATATTCTAATCATACTTGTGATTCAACTATTTTGTTCTTGTAAATCAGTAAGAACAATAAAATAAAACAGCTCATTACATTAACAGCTCTTAAATTGGGATTAGACTGTATAATGTTAAAAATAACAGTTTATCAAATATAAATTATCAACTTTGTAAATTCATTTTATAAGCAAATCAATCACTCACTGCATTATTTAGAAGATTATTGTTAAATAAAAACTAATTTTAATAAATAAAGCCGTTACACATCACAATCTTAAAATATCAATATCTTAGAAATATTAAAAAAAAGGGTATTGCAATACTTGATGATCTTATAAAAATAAGTTACCATGTTATAATTAAATTTATTTAAGCATAAGTTAGTTAAAGTTTTCTTACTTCAAATTAATTGTTTACCATTCTAGGCACTTGTACTTACTTCCTTGCAACACATTAATGGAATAATTCGTTGTAATATCAAGCTCTTTATACAATCAGAACAATACTGGTGACCACAATATTCTAATCTGTAATTTAATCCAGGAACTGGTACCATGAAACAAACTGGACAGCTATTTCTTTCAGATATAAATGAAGTGGAAGAGCAGGATATACCTTTTAAATGTTCTACTGCCTGTAATGAAATTATACAGAAATTAATAGTAATGTATTTAAATAACCATGTTTAATTTACAGTATAAATTAAATAATATATAACTTATAGAAATCTATTATTGAAAATAAAATGTTCTATTTATAAATCTTTAAATTAAATTATTCATCTAAAATTAATATTTACAAAGCTAGATAGTTATCATCATTTCTAATGACTAAATCATCCATTAAAATGTTTTACCTTCTGCTTTTACTTATCAAAGTAAAATCAATAAAACAGCAGCAAATTGAACATGATGAGCAGAGCCAGATTTGCATTTTCGGGGACCCTAGGACAAGTAAGGCTTTGGGGCCCCTAAAAATAATAATCTCTGAAATTAATTTCATTTGACTTATTCACATAAGGACTTATAAATTCTATTGTAAAATACCTGATCTGATTTAAAGGTTAATCCGAGATTACGGAATTGACAGAAGTTGCTGAGGCTTTATGAAATATGAAAACTAATATTTTTTTATTATAAAATTCAATGCGGTATAAAAATTACAATTTGTTTTACAAAAAGTTTTTTCTACGTTTTTGGCAAATTCATTGATTAATAAATCAAAATCAGTGGATTTCATTTTATTGACATTGCTGGATAAAAAGTGAAATTGTTTAAAGTCTTCTAGGTCACGGTTGACCTTAGATCATTTTTCATTAGTTTTAATTTTGAAAAACTTCTCTCACCAGAACAGTTGATAATCATGAAGCATAAATAAATTCTTAAAACTGTTTCAGTGTTTGGAAATGCAATTTTCACATTCTTTTCTCTTATCATGTTATACAAGAACAAGTGAGTCAAAGGGGATTCTTGATCTCGATAATTAATTTTGATGAAACTATGGAGTTGCAAAACTTTGCTATATAATGAATTATCGATATCTCCTTCGTATATCTTGACAATATTTTGTACATGTCTTCAGTTCTTCATTAGGAATGTCAATGTCGATTAAAAATCCAAAATTCTGATTAATTTTCTTAAAAGACTCAGCACATTGTTTCCAATTCATATTAATCTGTTTACGCCGACGTATTGCGCGCAACCTGTTGATCTCTTTTCCCTAACTGTAAGTGATTTAGAACCGGCATGCACGTTATTCTTCGCATTGTAAAATGACATTGCGCATGTATAAGGAACTTCTGTTCAAACAAATCTGACTTGCCGTCCGGGTTGCGATTTTGCGTCGGTAGCGATTTTGAAAAGGTGGCAACACTACTTGCAAAGCTAGTAAGTTTTGTAGGTAACAGAGCATAATCTTATAATATAATCAAGGTGGGTTGATAATAATAATTGCAGAGCCCAAACGGTTAGGAGTTGAAAGTTGAAATTTGGTACACAATTATATGTCACGGGTATGTCACGAGAACGCACACTAAGAAGGGATTTTTTGAAATGCCCTCCCCGGCGGGGAAGAGGGAGAGAGTTAAGATTATCTTAAAGAACTTGGCTTTACTGTACTATTTTAGATGCGGTTTTTTGCGTTTTTGAAGAAAATCGAACATATTTTCAGACCATGTAAAAATTCTCTAATTAATCTCGGAAGAGGGAGACTAATTCTTGCATGCGGTGAAAACGGGTAAGATAGGCTATAATCTAATAATTTTAATCTTCGCTATCGTTACTTTTTGCCCAAGCAACGCCGGGCTCATCTGCTAGTAAATAGATAACGAATATCTGTCAAATTTACAGCTAGCAGCCGTTTTGACATTTGCTTTTCCTTCAGGGCCGGATGCAATAGGTACGAGTCCCGATTGAATTTTTTTTGTGGGCCCCTCAAAACTTTAAATAACAAAATTAATTAACAGTTAATTTACATATTGAAATATAGATTTTAAATATTTATTTAAAACAAAATCCAAAATCTAATTATAAAAATCAAAAGTCACGAACCATAAGGTAGACAAATTTCTACATTAAAAAACCTGTACCAAATATAAATACAACTACATTTTATTGAATATAAACACACATAGATATGTTTTAGTATTTCTATATTTTAAAATGAATATAACTACATAAATTTTTGTCATGAAAAATCTTCTAATGTGTTGATGAATGATTATAACTAAAGTTTATTGAATATAAACCTATAAAGAGATATTTTATATGTTCGGAAGTTTTTGTTCTGTAAAATCTTCTAAAATGGTATCAAAATCCAACTGGCTTGCTTCTTGACTCTCAATCGACATGATCGCTAAACTGTTTAATCTGTTCTGTAATTTGAAACTATTTTTAAATATATAAATTTTGATGTCCTGCGGGGCTCCTTCAAGCGCGGGGCCCGATTGACGCAAATCGCTCCAATCGCCTCAAATCTGGCCCCGCTTTCCTTAACTTGTCATTGTATTGTCTCAACTTCAACGTATAAGAATTTAGTAAAAATAGACCAAAAAATAACGAACGCAAAAGCAAATATTTCCTAAGCAACTCTATCACACAGAACATAAAAGTAGTCCAATATTATCTAAATAACTCTCTATCATACACAGGCACAAGTTCCGCACCTGATATATACCCAGTCCATGCAAATGCTACTTTTTAATTCGAGTCTCTATTGTCACAACATAATCCTTTTCAAAGTAACTACAATTGCTGTAAAAAACAATAATTCTCTTACCTGATCTACTTTTTAAACACAAAAACTGAACTAGTGTAAATGCAAAACATTATACTGATACCGATATATATCTGATTTACTGATTTAAACACAGCACATCTACTTGCTACTTCTCGAGACAAACTAATGTTAAAATCAAATATTGTCAGTAATTTAAGCTTACAGCAGAACTATCAACACGTTACACGTGCAATTGTCTTTTATGATAATTGCCGCCTCAGCTCTTAGGAGCGGTTGCGCGGTATATTACATACAAAAACTAGCTTTGCTCTGTCACGTCAAAAGCCTTTACGCGCGCACTCGCCAATAATGCACCTGCACCATAAACCGAAATCAAAGGGTGCCGAAAGCACTTAGGCAGAGGCGTGCGATAAATCATAAGTCATATACATCAATATCGGAATAACAGACCGATATAGAAAAGCGTTGCGTAAAAATTTTTAATTATTGAATTGTTCAAATAATATTTTGATTTTGCTGCTTATGCCGTCTCCTTTCGATACCGCCTGATGCGGCCGCCTCTCTGCATCATGGCACGGCCCTGTTGATTCTATACAACATTCGGCACCAGAAGTACCAATTAAATTCTATGAGTGTCCAGCGCACGGTAAAATACTCGCCTTACTGTTCTTTTTCAAAATTTTTGTCTGTATACCTTTACATTTTCGTACCATATTCATTACATTATTATGTAACTGAGATCTACAATCAACAAAATTCAAACCAGTCTTAGTTTCCAAAAAATTTACAGTTGTTTCCGTTAAGTTGGCTCCAGTGTGATCAGAGGCGTAAGCTACCGTGGAGCAGTTGGATCAAACTGCTCCAGGCACACGAATCATGAGGGATTCTTGATCTCGATAATTAATTTTGATGAAANTTTTGGATTTAATAATTAATCAATTAACTATTAGATTTGAATCCGTTTGACAATTATGTACACTTTTTAAGTGCTTTTCATCCGCATATCTTGTCGCATCATCTGATAAAAGTATTCTGGAAGGATCAAAATTGTTACCCCCTCGGACACTTCGCCTAGTTTTGGACTTCAACTGCTTCAATTTAAAATGTGTTTTTATACTCAGGTAAAAGAAATTATTTCTATACGCAAAGTTGCCGAACTACTTTTAGTTCACATCGCAGCCTCAAGTATATTCTCCGACATTATTGCATCATGTTTCACTTTTTTAACTTTATCAGCAATGACAGCGACAGCAGAACGAAGTTTTTTAAAACTAAAATTAATCAAAACTTATTTAAGAAGCAGCATGTCACAACATCATCTTAGCTTTAGCTACTATATCAGTTGAAAAACAATAGCTTGTCAACTTGATCTGGAGAAAGTTATTGACCAATTTGCAAACGAAAAAGCGAGAAAACAACAATCTTGAAGTTTTTTTTTATGTATTATTATGTATTTGTTACAAAACAAAATTGTATACATTTTCTCAATACAGTTTATATAATATGTAGTAAATGTTATTATAATAAAGCAAAATGTACTTGTACTTAAAGAATTACATTTTGTTTTATTGTTTTTTGTGTGTTTATTAAATTAAATATCTTATTGTTGAAATGCTTCGAATCTGAAATAAATTGTTATTAAGAAAGGTTATAAATCGAAATAATTAGATATATGTTTTTAAATTAAATGTTCAAGATAGATTTCGCGAGACCTCTTCTAAGGAACAAGGGGGTGTCCATTCCACTTGCTCCTGGGTGCCGAATGCTACTGAGTGTGATCACTATGCCACTATGTGCCAGCTATGCCACTGACTTGTGAGTGTGATCCTCAATTTCAATGAAGTTCAGAAATCATTCCATTGGTCCAAAACTCAATTCATCTACATATCTCAAAATAATGCATAGTTGTGTCCCACTTTCATAGATTCTCTTCATTTCTGCTTTCAATAAATAATGTAAATTATAAAAGCAATTAAAAATGAATTCAGATATTTTCTACCCTAAAATTCGTGATGAGTTTACAAAAATTCTCGCTGTACCTTTGTCTTAAAGTAATTTCTTTGTTAATAATTGAAAATCTCAGCAATCTCATGAAAGCTCCAAAATTTGGAACTTTTCAAAAATTAATACTTTTATTTGGAATTCAAATAAAAGTATTAATTTTTCTGCAGAATGTAAACAAACAAGAAACAAGTTCAAAAAACATTCAAAAATTTCTAATTGGATGTTTGAAATTGGACATCTTAACAGATTTTCAAATTTGCTGCATCTTCATCTTCTTTCAGATCTTTGTCTTTTAGATATTGTCCTAGTAATGGAGACCTTATGGATTTAAAAATGGCTTATTTTTTCGTTTATTAAAAGTTATAAAATTTGAAAACAGATTGATAATTTTGAGGCCCTAAGATGCGGCCTAGTCAGCCTATACATTAATCCGACACTGGCCCCCTCCCTGCCTACATATTTTACTAGGAGTTTGTACAAAAATTTTTTTACTAAATTTCATTACAGTTTTGCTGAATAAGCAGCATGGGGTTTTATACAACCCATGAAACTTTATTTGTAACTATATATTTGTCATTTAACAAAAGTTTCTAAGGAGTAGTTCAGTAACTAAAGTGAAAA